TATTTTTTTTTTTTTTTATTTGGTAAAATTTTCACAGTAAGATTATTTCAAATGTTGTATAAATGTCCGAATATGGATGTTTATTTGCAATATTTACATTTTTACTTCTTCATAACGAGCGATGAACTGAAAGCCGGGAAGTAGAAACGGCGCAAAAAATTCTTTTAAAGATAGATCGTCAAAGGTTATCGGTAATAGACGTTGACCCTAAGATCCTCCGTAAAGACAACGAGAGTCATAACGACGAAGCAACTCGTCTTACGAATATCTAAATAAGAATGCGATAAATATAAACGACAAATGGGCGCCGAACGTAATTACGTAGTTGCGCTGACGCGACGAAAAAATTCTGCCGATTTTCCGGATGGAGGAAAAAGCCAAAGGTTGAAAGCCTTAATCGGGATTCAGACGCGCGAGAAATGTAACTTTAAATTCAGATAATCGATACGCATTGTGTATTCATTTATATTTATTTTATTTATATTTAATTATTTATTTATATCGACGGGCGGAACAATCCTTCTTGGTGATACGAAAGTAAAAAGATGCCGGAACATATTAGTATCACTAATACAAATAGTAGTAATAACAATAAAAATCAGAGTAATAATAACAACGTCGATAAAGAAATAACGATAATAATCACAACGAAGTGTTCAATCGTATTCTTCTCGACCTCATTCCCATTATAATTTGCAGTGCGTGATATTATTTCCATTTGATGACTCCAAGAACCGTGAGTTCTAATATCGCAATTGTAAAGCATCGTAAATACATATATTGATTTATGGCCGGTGATTGTGAATGCAAAATATTTTTGTTTTTCCTTCAAATTTTACGTAAGGTAATAATCCGAATTTTTTTCAAAAAAAGATAAAGGATTTTGAAGAGAATTAAACAATTTCTTTCTGGATGGAAAGAAAGTATACAGTGAATGCTTATATTGATGAAAATTATTTCGCAAATTATTTTGTTTCAGGCGAGTTTGACAGATCGCACGTAAAACACGTGGGAATTTGAAATATATCGATATCAAATTAAATAACTTAAATTAAATAATTAATTAAATTTTTTCAGAAAAATTCAAGTATGATTTTTTTTGTTATTTGGATTTGCTGAAGATGATCCAGTCCAAAGAAAGGACCGAATTGTTCATCGTAATTAAAGAAAATTTCTACATAATTTAGTTGTACCAACTTGCTCGGCTCTCATTAGCCTACTTTCTACTTGAATTTTTATATTTAATATAATAGAGCATTTCCGTTTCGTTATTAATTTTTTTTTTATTAGCTGTTCTCTTCGTTGCACAAATAATGGTAGATAAGATGAAAGTTGTTTCAGGTATGCGGATCAAGGAATTTCAAGCATGAACATTCTACGAAAAGTCAAAAGGAGTCGTAAAAGACAAAAAAGAAGAAAAAGGCAGATTACAAGGCACCTAACGGTACATATTGTTTTCTTGACCGAAAGAGATAATAGGAGCTTTCTAAACTAACAGGATACAATACGGATGGGTGCAATACGAATATTGGAATAGCTTAGATAAGCCAGTTTTGAGACCCTTGGTAAAAACGTCGAGAAGCGTTTTTCTTTCTGGCATCTTTCTAATCATCACCAAATGTTAGACTTTTCCCATTTCGATCTTTTTGTGGAAAAATAAATAATCAAATAATACAAAGACAAAATTTTCCGGAGAGATTCAAATCATTTTTTTCGTTTCATTAATTTTTTTTATATTTCCTTTTTCTTTGCGTTTTATTACATCATTTTATTATAGAGTTTTTTTTACTATACTTTATATATATATTCCCGGGGAGCAAAATATAAACTAGTATTCCTAGTACAAATTTACCGGGAGGAGAGAACGAAATTGTCGTCTTGGACAGAGCAACTCGAGGAGGAGGACTCGTGCCACGAGGATTGAGTCGCGCGAGAGTGTCACCTTGACTGTATTTATTTCTAGGGGCAGATCGCGACAGAGGAGAGCGGCACTGGGTCGACCCGCGCACCCTCGAATATTCTGGAACCGGGGCACGTCGCGTCCCATCCCCATCCCGTGGCGTCGCGGCCGGCCGGGCCGGAGACGGTACATCTCTCTTCTCCATCAAAACAATTCGATATATCGATTATACAGCACACGCGGAGGGTGAGGGCCTCTCTCTCTCTCTCTCTCTCTCTATCCCTTCTCGGAACGCCCCTCGGAGCGCCAACCCGCTCTCGACTTGCCTCGCGCGTCACGAAAAATTGCGCCGTTGCTCCCCGAGCACACCCGCGCTCACTTCCCGCCCTTACATGCTTCGACGATTAACCCCATGTTGGTCCAACGGAAATTTTATGTTACGGCCACCAGAACCTGACTGCGCATTTTCTTCTTAATAAAAAAAAAAACAGTATAAATAATTGCCGAACTCAGTTATCTTAATATGAGAATTCGACCATGCTCTAAATTAGGGTACAAATAAAGGACCCGAGTCGAACTTTATCTACTTTCATCGAACTTTTCAAGAAATTTTCCACGATCACACGTTGACTTAAGACTGAAAATATGAAATAAGTATGTAAACACAAGAATATTCTATTTCGAAGAAGAAAACATAATTTATAGGTATGACGACGTGTTTCTATCTTTCTGTGTATAAGAGGACTGTTAATTCCAAGCTTCCTTAATCAATGAGGTTCTACACCGTTATCAAGGTATCTCGACACGAGTGGATATAAAGGTGAAAATCTGATAAGATCTACACTCGAGATTAGACGAGAAGAAAAATGCCTGCTTATCTTGTCAGTCTCGGGGGGAGAACGATATTTATTATTTATTTTTTAGAATAATTAAGAGACACACATTTATAATTTTCACGAGTTTATAACATTCGAATTTTTTTATTTAGGACTCGAAAATCACGCAACGATGCGAAAACGAGATATTGAGAAAATTCTTTAACGAGTCTCAGGAAT